TGCATTACTACTCTGTTAAAACACTTCTCATCAGTCGCGCTAATTACGCGACGTAGAGTGCTGAAAGAAAATATGTACTTTAAGAATACATGATCGACGAAACAACGATAATTCACTGTATTCCATGTTTTTTCTTCCTCGTCTTTGGGCAAGCTAGGTCCTTTTCCATCTTTGAGGGGCGTTTTAGGCATGGCCATTCGTTTTTTTCTCAACGGTCGTCATGTACTACGTCTCTCTTTTTCTTCGTGAGAACTGCATTGCAGGGTCCATTTGTTCTGCCATTCGAAGGCTTCTGATCATTATTTTTGGGTAGCGTTTAAACTTAATTATCTTCGTTCTTACCTGCACAAGTCCCCTTTTATTCCCAGTTTTCCCGTGCGATAAAAAATCGCTAGAGCTATTGGTGTCTCAGCCCTGTAAGGTAAAAGGCCCTATATAGAAACAATATTGAGGCATTTTTTATCCTCATTTTACTCATCTAATTTTACGTCTCGCCGAGTCAGAATGGCAGTCGCGAAAGCTGTCACGTATGTTGAGAATTTTATCTTATCGTGTAGTTTTTATCCTCTGATCACTTCTGGCAGAAGGAAATTCGTTTGAGGGGATATTCCCAAGTTTGTTGTAGGCAAATGGTCACTTTCGAGGCGAGCAAAAAATCACCAGATGTTCACTTTCGTTCGGGTCGCCACATTTGTACTTTTCTGAAAGGCACGAAGGCGCTGAACCCATACTGCTCATAGCAATGAACAATTCATTAATCTGTGGAAAACTGCATAAAGGTAAGGATTAGGAAATTTATTAAGTCATCTTTGATCGACAATGATTTTTCCCTTTTTGCTCCAGGTCTCTTACATTTGATTTAGTTTTGATCGCGTGACATTGGAAACCCTAATGAAATTCTCCTTTTTCACGGGAAGTCCACGCTGTCTCGACCTCGAGGTCTCCTCAGTACGCTTGGATATTCTACTAAGTCTGACTCGTTTAATTCATCTCAGTTTTAATGTTCTTTTTTGGTGCATGCCTTGAACTTTACCTAAGAGTTCCAGGGTTAAGTCTCTGTATTGTGGTTATTTGACGGCTTTATCAAAGCACCTCTTTCCCCAATGTCAGCATTTCCTTTGTCCCTCCCGCCTTTTGTCTTTTGCTTTCTTCGAGTCATGATTGTATCATTAATGTGTCCTGCCTTTTCTTTGCAAGCTTAACTGATTTTATCCCAGATCCACTACTAATTGTTACAGTAGAAACCACCTACCATACAATGGTTTCACAGGATAACAACCTATTTCCCTAGGAAGCCTTTCTATACTTGATGATTTTCTGAAGGTGTGAAACTTGCGATACGAATCCCCTTAAGTATTTTATGTAACTGGCGGTTTTAGGGTTCGTGCGATGTTTTTCAGCCAATTGGTCGAAAAATAAGTACCTAAGCTTACACGAAAGGAAATGTTTAGCTCTAAAATTGTGTATTTTTTCTTGCGCACCAAAACAAGGTATTAACATCCTACATCCAAACAATTTAACTACAGCTGCGCAACCAATATGTCTTTGGTTATTAACAAGAACAGAAAGGTGGATAAACCGCCGTAGGAAATTTTTTGTAGCCTTTAGATCTCAGGTGATTTGTTTGCAGGATCATTACTTAACAACCTAGATTTTATTCAACAACAAATCGTTAGATACTTATAAGAAATAAGTATAACCAAAAACAGACCAAAGGAAAGACATTTCTTCTGCGCTTCGTTGAATTAAGGCTCTATGATAATTGAGTGTAGTTAGCACTTATACAAACGCACAAAACAAAACACTTGGATAGTGACTATAATCAGTAATGATTGTATCGAGGCCTTTTTTTTTTTTTTTTTTTTTTTTTAAACCACTTTTCAAACTAACCTCCCCGAATACAAGTGGGCCAATTGTATACCCTTAAGAGTTACTTCGTGATGATGAAAGTGCGGTTGAAAGAAATGGGACTGTGACAGCCATAAGTAAGTAATTGACTTGAATTCAAATTTCAAGAGAGACCGCACATGCGTTTCAGTGTACGTGAAGGATCTAGCCTCTTACTAGTGTGTTTTGACTCGATCGAACTTGACTATCCATCACTTGAACACACATTACAGGGATATGAATAGAATCTTCAAATCACCAGTCCGGAGAGCATGGCAGATTCAATCTCCTAATTTAAATTAATTTTATTTTCACTTCCAGCTGAGGCCTTCTTAGGCTACCAAATTCCGCCATTATATTTTGCCAGAAATCGAAATTTTCATTTCACGATATTTCGATTGATTTAAACACTGGAATGAAAACGGATCGCGCTCTTACTTTTGCCCAAATTTGATAATTCACCACGACTTCCCTTCAAATCCACACATGTCACATATGCTGTAAATATTTTTGGCTCTTAACATTGCACAGTCTTTTTCGGAATTTTTCTTATTTAATGTTATTGACGAGAAAGAACGATGTTGAAGTTTCTCTATAACCTTAAAACATGAATTTCGAAGGCCATATATTAAGTTCCACAATTTACGAAGTCCTTTAGGATATCGTACTAACTTTTATCGATAAGCAGAGATACAAGAAAGAATCCGCGATTTCTTATTTTTGTCGTGCAAAAGGCTCATTGAGTGTGCAACCTGTACTAATGAAGCAAGCACGCAAACTTTCGCTTTCATAAGAACTTACACCGACTTGTCTTGGTCTTGCTTTTTTTTACGAAGTATGTTGGTCTTTCCGGTAAAATTATCTTTAAACTTGTTAATACGGGTCATTCACTCGAAACTGGATTAGCAAAATCACTGCACGAGTCCTATCCTCTAACAACTGGTGGTTCGGAGCGTAGGCGGTTAAATAATTTCTCTCGAAAACTAAGTTGTTCTTAGTTTTTCATTTTATTCAATCTTCTTAAAGATCTCTTCATTCCAGCTTTGACTTATATTCAATAAAAGTGGCGATAAGACTTGTCGAGACAGACTGATAGCTGTAATGAGGAGCTTTTCCATACTTCACTTAAAAAAATACACGTGTGATCCATTTTATTTTCAAGAGTGAGACAATCTACAGGGTAAGTGAGCGAAACTTAAACAAGTTTTATCGAAATTGTTAAGACGCTTGGGTAGTATTTCATGGTACTGGTAACTTCAATTACTCTTGGGGTTTTGTTGCAGCACTTATGAGCCTATTTCCATTTTTTTTTTCGATGAATCGAATAGTTAAAAAATTGATGAGAAAAACAAGTCATTGCATAATAGACGCCAAGTAGCATTAAAAGGATCGGGATAAATTCAAGAAGGTTTGAAAAATTAAAAAGGTGTTTTTTCACAGTTCCTCGACGAGAAAATTGTTATTTTCAGCGTCAAGATAATGAAAATAAACGAGTTTCGGCTTGGTATAACGAATCATTTGTTTCACTGGGTCCTATGGAAGCAACTTTATAAAAAAACTCGTTCATTCGCCTCAGCGGCAATTCCGAATTTGTTCAACTCGGACGGACGGACCTACGGATTAGTTGAACACGGATTTCACAGTAAGGTTGGCTAGAGTGAAAATTGAACTCTTCTTAAAACATTCTATCACAGTGAAATGCCTCAACTTAGCACCAGGAATGGAAATATTGCTAGAATATTGCAATCAAGACAGGAATTTTCAAAATTTATTAAAAAGATTGTCTATTCAATCCTTCCCACTTTTCGTAACTTCTGTAATGGAACAAAAGTAATTATTCTGCTGAATCTTATTTTTACTAGAATTAAATGAAGACACATCGTTTGAATAGAGAAAATAACCCTAAGGCACAAAACGTGTGAGGGATTTGAATTAACATATTTTTTATTTTTTAAAAACTTTTCCGGTGTGTCAATTCTGACTCAGAGCTGGTCTTGATAAAACAGAGGTAACTGCATATATATAAAGGGGAAGTTTTTTAAAATAACAAATTTAGCCAGATGCTTGCAATCTAGCTTTCCTCATTTTCCCCTTCTATCTTGAAAGCCCTTCATTGAGTAGAATATACCACAATAATGTCACCTTGTATTTAAATCTAAAAGAAGGAAAGGGCTCAAGTTTCGTTTTGTAATCTCTTACCTTCTAAATCGCAAGATGGTTCACCTTGGCCAAAAATATCTTTCGTGACAAAACAACAAACTTTTATGTGGTGGTGTCCTATAAATTGACAAAGTGTTCAGGCTTCTGTTAATAAGGGAAAAAGGATTTTAATGCGTTGATGTTCCGTAATGTTGATTGAATACTTATTAGCAACTGACGATTTTCTCACCCACAAAAATTTCATTCAGCCGTAGCATCACTAAAGATGTCTTTTTAAGAGACCCATACTCGGGAAAAAAACGTACGAAAAAAGGTCATAAAACGAATTTTTTTCCGTAAATGACGGATTAAATATCGTTGGAGCGGAGCACTTTTTAAAAAATTTTTGGGCAAATATTCAAAAAATAAACATCAACCAGAGATTACTTTCCATTTTAATTTCCCTTTGTTAGAAATCGCCGCGACATCAAGTCTCCTCCCTGTTCAGAGAGTACGTAAATCCGTCAAAATAAGCTACAGAGAGATCGTGGTGTTTAGGTCACGAAAGGGGCTTATAGCCATGAATTGCAAATAAATCTGATTGTAAAAGTAATATTTTAGATCTATTTTGTGAGTTAAATTTGTGTTGAATGCTACATAAAACGAAAAAGGGATCAATAAGACCTAAATCAATAAAACCTTTATCTAGCCTTAATTACAATCCATCATCGAATACCGACAAGAAGAGCTCCTCATTCAACCTCTCAGGAAAATTAAGCCTTGGCGTAAGCAGTGTCATTTATCAGGAAACATACAAAGCATTAAAATATAAATTGATTAAATGTCAGGTTTAAAATTAAGATTCTGAACGCTTTCACAGTATAAAAGAAATTGGAAAGTTTCACGAACATCATTGTGCCAAGTTTATTGATAAACTTGTTCAAAGCTTTTCTAAATTTGTACGTAATATGATATCGTGTCAATCACATTCGTTACTCAATACACCTCAAGCCTTTTGTTGAACACTTGCCTTCTACCATTGTAAACCCTTAAAATTCTAAATAGAGAGACATTAACTTTAAATGACATATCTCTTGGCTGTCCACATTTAGTTGCTAAAGTATTCGTAATTAATCCGTATTCGTTTGTCTTAGGCGTAACATATATTACAATGTCATAGTTCTCCGACAAAATTAAAAACATGCTATCCGAAATAAACCTCACATTTTGGTCAGACTTTACTTTATTCTTAGGCCTTGACTTAGTTTTACGAATAATCTTGTAACTTTCCGTAGCTTTCAATACTTGCTGCAAACTGTAAAAACACTTCTTCGGACGTCAGTATGAATATTAATGCCACAGAAGGACTTCTTGATTGCTTTTTCGATCTGCGTTTTCACAAAGCATTAAAATTTAAATTGATTAAATGTCAGATTTAAAATTAAGATTCTGAACACTTTCACAGTATAAAAGACATTGGAAAGTTTCACGAACATCATTTTGATTTTGGCGTTCAGATCTCTAAGCTCAAAATGAACAATACATCAGAATGCATAGTCACCATAAACACTGCAGCAAAGTCTACCATAACAGCACTGGTATTAAGTGCCATTGCGCTGGTTTCTCTGCTTGGAAATAGTCTTCTTATACTCGTTTTCTTCAGATCAAAGGCTGTAAAGAAGGCAACGAACGTGTTCATAATCAATATGGCTGCTTCCGATCTCTTTTTTCCTGTTTTTCTACTTCCGCGTCAAATTATCGCGGCCATTACAAGATCGCCACCAGAATTATTCCTCATCCGTGGAGCCATGGGTTCCTTCCTTTGCAAGATCTCCACCTTCCTCACTGACGTGTCCATTACAGTGTCAACACATTCCTTGGTCATGATTACCATGGAACGGTTTCTTGCTATCGTTTTTCCATTCAGAATTCGTCAACTCTCTTCTAAAACACGTCTCTACGCCATTTTGATGGTGTGGATCATAGCGTTGGGGATTCACTCGCCATACTTCTACACATATAGATTGACGAGTTCAGGAAGATGCGAGTACAACTGGGAACCAGCATTCAACCACAAAATTACGCACACCCGCTATTACACCGCCTTGTTTGTGCTGATTGTCATTTTGCCCTTCACTTTGATTACCATCCTTTATTCCGTGATGGTTTGTTGCCTCTTCCTGAACAAGCACAAGCTTGTAATACATCGCTCCAGTGAGAATGCTCCTAGAAGAAGAAGCGGAGCAAAAGAACTCAGAATGTTAAAGATAGCAGCGACTATTGTCATTGCCTTTGCAGTATGCTGGGGTCCTTTCAACATCATACAGTTCTTTCACCTGTTTGCCCCATGGAAACTTAAAAAACTTAATTGCAACATCGGTCATGTGTTGACTCAAATTGCCTTTATTTTGGCGACTGCCAACTGCACGGTTAATCCAATCGTTTGCCTCGTCTATTTAAGGAACTACCGTTTAAAAGAGAGTTTGGCAAGTTTACGGTCACAATTCAGCAACATTTCTAAAGGGAGTCAACGAGAAACTGAATTGTAAAATAAGCACCAGGTGGTTGGTTCAAGTGCACTTATTACGCATGCATTTAAGAAATAAGTACCTTTGCTCATAATTTGGTAATCAAGTTTTATCAAGAGATATGGTAAATTCTTGAAGAAAACAGTCCAAATAGCCAACAAAAATCTTTTTGCATTTTACAATAGAAAAAAAAATGCAAAAAAATTAATAAAACAAAACAAGTCAAACTTCAGAAAAATGAGTAAAGAATTAGTCCAACAAATGGGTGAAAAAAAACCAAGAAACAGAAAACGAGAGTAACAACAACAATAAACAAAAGTGTACTGTTGTGCCGATACCAACAATACCGTAGGGAAAAAATTGAGTTTGCAAAACCAGCGGGCCGTTTTCTTATTCATGGTTTTGTCCAAAATTTTCACTTGAATCTTTCGCTCAGCGATAGCCGTTTAGATCAAACAGGTGACATGAATTCACAGGGTACTCCCTTTTTTTCATTTATCTATTTATCTTTTCTCTTTCCAATGTGTACATATATGATGATAATTTAAGTTTATAAAGCCTATCTTCTGGAGTCGTTGAATACTTAATTTTAATACTTAAAAGTACTGTGGCTATACACATTCGACATGCCAAGCACACATAAAGGGGCCCTTTTTCCATTTCCTTTTTTAAGGAAGCAAAAGCCTCTCAGTACCTCTCATTATAGGTTATTGATTGATTTTACTCCTCTATAAGTATCGTAAGAAGGTATGTGTTTAGATTTCAAATAGGACTAGGCTGTTATTGTTACATCGATCATAATTTCTCGTTTTGCTCAATAGCTTAGCTTGATTAGTTTTGAGCAATTTTCATTAATTGAAAGCAATGTGGGATTTAAATTCTCAACGCTCCAATTTTTTTTTCAAACAACACACACACATCTCCTCAACCAATACTGATATACAAAACTAAAAAGAATTTCTATAATATTTTGCGTGTTTTTATACTAATTTCTCATTGCCTTGTTGCGATAAATACTTTCGCTTTGATTGACCTTTGTAATTTCTAAATTTTAGGTCTTCCAATATCTAGAGGAAAAGTACTTTGTCTTTGCGGCATCAATACTGCGACTTGATGATCATTTACTATTTGCATTTAGCATAATTTATTAACTGATACAAATATTGGCTGACTCCGCTTTTTAGTAATTTGGATCCTACTTCGGTCGAAATTATCGATGCAAGAGTATTAGGATAAGACGTGACCTGACTACTTCTTGGTGGTAGCCTGGTTTAAAATATTCAGCAATATTGTTAAAACATCATTAAATTTTACCTGGGCCATTTTTTAAATTTTAATAAAGTGTTTAATCTTTGGTAAGGCCTTGGTAATAAAAATGTGATGTAGAGTTGAATAATTTTTGTGGTTTCGATAGGTGATATCACTTCCTTCGGAACTAATATCTAATAAATAAAATATATATTTGATGAATGTTAACAGGGTGCAAATCTTAATAGCTTTGATTTAAAATGCACCTAACTAGCAGTTACCTAATAAATATAAGATGAATGATGGTGTACAGTCATGTTACTATGTAGTAAAATTCTAAAACTGAGAAACAATCTACTTTGTACCCAGAATAACAAAGATAGTAAACATGGAGCTCGTCCGCGAAAGGAAGGAAAATGTTTTTCGTTTTTGTCGCGAGCATAAGACGATAAAACCCCATGAATCTACATCACTAGACTAAGTGATTTGTTCAACGCAGGAACTCAAAAAATGCTTTTAACTTTGCTCATCCTAGCAGTGGAAAAGGAAGGAAAAGGTTTTTTTTTGTGGGCACAGGACGATAAAACCCCAAGAATCTACGTCACTAGATTAAGTGACATGTTCAATGCAGTAACTCGCATAATGCTTTCGACTATGACAGGAAACCTGTCACATATTAGCCTAAGCGTAGCCGTATCCTCCCCCCAAGGGTCTGGTGTTTGACCCTTCGTGGGAGACGCAGATATCAAGTTTTTGTGCGACACTCGCGACAAAACTGATAACAGTGTTTCCCTATGAATTTCTTGTTCTATCTGAGCCAATGTTCCTTTCCTGTATACATAAGAAGATATCATGAAGTCATGAACCAGAGAACATTCGTTTGCCACATCTGTGACGGGGTCTTTCGTCCGCATTTAGAAATTTCAGATTTTTAAACACAGCACACACTGCCCGCAAAATCCCTGTCGATCTTAATGCGAACAAACTATGTTAGAAGATCAGATGAAAACCCAAAAGAGTAATTCTAATGATGTAGACAATCTACTAACTCCTTGCAATGGATGGTTAAAGATTGTTCTTATTCTTACTTAATTTCATGATCAACTCGTCAATACCTCAGACGGCAACCCTCATACAAGCCTGTTGCAAAGACAATAACCCGACAGCCAAAGCCCTGGCACATGTTATGAGCCACGGAAAAAGCGAAAATCTGTTCGCTGGAACAAAATAGAGCCTTACGCACCCGATTGTTTTGCAAAGGAAATTTTAAAATTCCACAACCATAATTTAGAGTTGGTATGTCTTTTATTCTGTAGTCACTTACTAATACAATCCGACAGTATTCAGACTAGCTCCCATCTACTAAAAAAATTCAGCTCATCAGTTTATATGCGTGACAGTTAGACAAAGGCTTTGTCTAATGTCATCATACCACACTTAATGCACGATCAGGTTAAGCTATGTACAACAGATCCCGCATACTAAAGTATGTGCCTTCGAGATGTTGACTCTTTTCGAAATGACCTTCTAACTTAAAATTTCATATGTTTTCAGTCAAGATCCTGGTAGAGAATTCGATATGGAATTTATCCAAAAGCGAGACTAAAGGAGATCGAACAATTCCGAGAAATTCCTGTGTAGAGAACAACTTTGACCAGAGCAATTTACTTTTTTCACTTACAAGTGGATATTAACAAATTGGAATCTAACTTAACACATATTTCTTCCTCAAAATTAATGGCAACTTGATGTAAATATTTTGAAACATTACATACACTATTTTTTTGGCGGTAAGAGGAGATTACAATTACTCTACCACCATAGAAGTACGAGATGATCAACAGCTTTTATATTTTTGCGGAATGGCTTACGATAATATATTAATTCCAATCATTTTCCCAACACCTAAATAAGCCATAGCACATCTACGGAAAAAAAAAATTTTGTTTTGATGCCAATTTTTTACTTTTAAAAAAATGAAGTAATTTGGTGAGAGGTGAAAACCGAACACCCCTGCTTTTCTAATCGGAAGTAATGAAAATTAACATGCTTGTTTTAAAAGAGGTGACTTGTCTTGCCCAGAATTCATGTTTCTTCACCTCCAAATTATTTGTAATGGTATTAGTCGAGGTTCCTCATAGGGCTGGGGAAGGGGATCGAAATCCCTATGTGCAGACCAAATAAACCTATTTTATTCACTAATTTCTTACGTCAAATTTTACCCGAAACTCCTTCCTCATTGTATATGTCAAATCTAAACGCCTTTTAAATATGGTTAATACAAACCGAATAGAATCGGTCGATGTAATCTTTTGATGCAAGTGCACGATGACTTCGCTGGTTGGCCTTAATCCTTTAGCTCCTAAGAGTGACCAGCATCTAATTTCTCTTTACTATATCACACTGAATCAAACATGAAAGTCATGAGAATGGAGGAGATGATCACCAACTAAAGCAGCTCCTGATTGTTAAACAAACTCTCCTTGTTAACCCTATTTGGAAATTTATGGAGAGCAGTATGGAGAATATGCATAGTGATGTTGGGGTGTAAAGGGTTAATCTCAGCATTCACACCCTACAGAGGTAAGAACTCGAACCATCCTCGCTCCACTTCCAAGTGCGTCAAGCACGTCGTAATCTGAATCCCTTAGTATATAAAATCGTATACTGGACCCTGTAATACAATCAGGGAGAAAAATAACAATACGCAGAGGAGTAAAACTAAGCCGCGATACTGACAGTGCAAAGCTACTCGAACTAATGTTGTAAACTGGAAAACCTATTATTTTATAAGTTGTCTTTACAAATTTCTATTTGCTTAGTTTTTCCTGTTTTTTTTGTTTTGTTCTTTTGTTCTTCTGTATTCTTACGCCAAAAAGTATCGCAATGATGGTAACGAATTCTTTACGGAAAGAGTCAGTCTATCATTTGATTTTTAAGAAAAAATGAAAGCCAAAGTGAAAGGTATGTTGATTAATTGGAACAATGTTTTAACTCTGTTCCAATTAAAAAAAGACTTGCAAGGTTTTGAAACTGAACAAAATGATAAAACATGTTCAATGAACAGACCCATCGCATCGCAAGTGGTTTGAAAGACTTTGAATATTCCCTCGTTCCACTTTACTAAAAGGCAAAAACATGCCTGTAACCAGAAATTCTTCTCAATCAGCCTTAAATAACATAAAAAATTTCATTTTCAATCAAGTTGACTCGCGAAGCTGTCTTATAAAGGTGAGGTGAGGAGCTTTAATTCGAACGCGACTGACACCGATAGCTCGGATTTAGATGTACAAACGAACCGTTTTACAGTTTAACAAACCAAAAGAAGAATATAGGCGTTTCTTTTCAGGTCTCAGGAATGTTCTGGCGTAAGATGGATCCCCTTCAGCAGGATAATTATTGCAGGGCGGATCGGCGAAATGAAGGAAAAAATTATATCTCTCGTCGATGGAGGCTTTTCCCTCCAGGCCGCAATAGCCCGAGAAAGAAACATCTCGCGTGCGAGCGTATAATTATCTCAATCGCTTAGCCGATGAAGTAGGCTGTGTGTTTGCCTTCTCCAAGGTGGTGCTGACGAGAGGTTACCAATAAACACTGGAAAAGATCTGTATAAAATCGCGACTTTCTTAAGTTTGGGTTTCCTGGTCTTCGCCAACGTGAATGGTTGACTGATCACAGCTTTCAAATCGATGCATGACGTCCTTCACTTCGTATTTCCGTGAGCGTATATACTTTTTACCATATCTTTTACTCTTCTTTGCATAACATCGAGATTGTATCTTCTGCATCATGAGTTTCAGTTCATTTTGAAACTGTGGGATAAGCAAAAGGCAAAGCCATGGGTTTACAGCACAATAACAACTCGCCAAAACGTACGAAATATAGGAAACTGTCTGGTAGCCCTTATTGCACTCTAGATCCAACCAAGGTGAAATGAGCCTAATGGAGGTTAAAACGATATGGAGCATCCAGCAGATCAAAAATGCTGTAGTAGTAGAAATGGCCATCATGAGGAATGTCCGAGTGCGTCTTCGAATCCGTCTTGTTCCGTTCTCGCTTCGACATGAACTCATTTTGTCCTTTCGGAGACGCAAAGCCACTATTATGTACAAAACAGAAATGGCGAGTAGCGGTAGAATCAACACTGTTGCGTATAGAAATATATTGTATAGATAATGCGCTGACTCGTTATTGAAAGCTGGTTCCCACCTCGGTAGACAGATTTGAATCTCATGGCCATTCCTAAAAAATCTGATTAGTCGATGAGTATAAAAGTATGGCGAGTGAAATGCTGCAGCCATGATCCATGTTAAGGCGAAGAAAACGCGACGTCTCACTCTAGAGGTATTCTTGTATTGAATAGGATACACCACTGCAAGGAAGCGCTCAATAGCGATAACAACCATGCTCAGAGTCGAAACAGATAGCGACGTGTCGCCTAGGAAACCGCACATCTTGCACAAAAATGTGCCTCCATTTCCATGGACAAGGAAAGCACCGGATCCATTGATTTCGTTTGTAATGAAGCGCGGGAGTAAAAAGACTGCCGTCAGAAGGTCCGATGCTGCCATGCTAGCGATCGCTAGCAGGACTTTTTCTTTCATTCTCACGAATGCTGTAATAAGGAGAGAATTTCCTATCAAGGATGCAAACAGCGTGAAAATGTGTATTGTAGCTGTGAGTTGGCTAAGATCCGTGCTTAAACAATGTTCTGGAGCAGGCGTGCTCATGTTTCTCTGACTTGTCTCAAGGACATTATTGAAGGACGCATTTCCGATGGCCGCCATTCTGTCAACTAAGGATCGTAAACAATGTGGAAAGCTGGATTACAACTTACGCACCAACCAGTGTGGTCGAGTTATCCCCCAAAGCGTCAATCTGAGGGTGCAATTACATTCGCTTTAGTTTCACTTACAAAAAAACAAACTTAACGCGCTCTTTTCGTAGTTGGAAAATTAATTGACGAAAAATGAACAAAGGGGACCAATCCGAACCTGCCGCTGTCACTTATGACAATGTTTTATTATTTAAAACAGCCTTTCCTTTTTATGATATTTAAACAATTTACTCCTCGCCTGTGGTCCGGATACTGTTGATTAAAGCATATTTGATAGGCGGTAATATTTGAAAGGTAAACTGTTTTTAAAGTTACGTCTTAAAATACATTAAAATCATCGTTTTGAGAAACAAAACAAATATTAAACAACATGTACTGTTGGGCAACGAACGAGTCTTATCTTTCCGTGCTGAGTACTTGGATAAACATCTCCTTTTCTCGCAATGTGTAACCAAATATTGTTACAGTTAGCGCAATTTTCCCGTGACTTACTTGAATTTTAAAAAGTTTTGTTCCTAACGTTGATATCGAACATAAGCAAAATTTATTTATCAGTTTTATAGGTTTTGTCGTTGGCTCAGAATATGTAATAGTTTAGTAATTGAGGCCCCAAGGTTTGACAATATGGTCACGTCCGGCACGAAATAAACAGAAAATGTGTTTTAACGCTACATATGATATTTAATCGAACAAAGGCGCAAAGTTATCAATATAATCTTTCCATTGAAGCTTGAATTAAAAGAATGGCGTGCGAGACTTTCGCTTCAAAGCCTTCCTTATTGATATGCAAAAAAACGGAAAATACAAAAAAAAAAAAAATAAAACAAAATAAAATAAAAATAAGCGCTTGCCTTTTCGTGTTTGCCAAACTCCTGTCAGAAATATCACTATTGACTATTTTCATTTACCCATCGAGTATACTATGTCCATAGATATATTACTTTTTTTTTCTTATTTCCTTTTAAAGTGAGTCGGGCGAGAACTTTCCTTTTTTCCAACCTGAACTTCGTTACTTGAACTTCTTCAAGGATTTAAAACACTGACGAAGTTTAGTTTTTTCACACCTGCAATTGCAAAATGCTACTTTACCTGTCGCAGTCTCACCAAGATAAATAATTAACTTACCGTCAAATAAATGAGTGTTTTCACCTAGAATCACCAGAACTGAGAGTAAAGTGAACTTGTATCTGAGGACTGCTAATGATGCTCAGTAAAATAGATAAAAACGGCGAGGATTTACGCAGCTCACTCATTATGATATTTTTTCATCTTGCGGTGGCAGTCGACAATTACACTTAGTAAATGGCCTCAAATGAAAATTTTCGAAGTAATAATCCACCTCTTACTCGTATTTTGTGATGTCAACAGAATAAATGAATAATATCTTGACAAATTGCCAAGGAATTGGTATTTCTTATTGGTCAAACGTGTACAGCTACTTGATAATCTTTCGCTTTTACCCATGGTTCATTTAGATCCGGTGAGTCATTCAGATGTACAAGAGCCTTTTATCTGTTAAAAAGAGCATATTTTTTTTATTTCTAAAGCGAACCACTTCGAAGTGATCGACAGTGAAATTTTCATCATAATCTTTTTAATTCCCCTTTCGCGCCTTTGCTAATTTGTGTGTTTAAGAGATTTTAGTATTTTCCGAGGAAATATCTTTGATATTTCGTTGTAATTTGAGTGAAGTTATTGGTGGTATGTTGCTCTTTTTTTTTTTAAAGAAATTGGAATTAGCCAATCACACTGATAAGACAAAACAGGGGACAAAAATGATGTTTTGCAAAAATACTCGACGACGTAACTACACGAACCGAATGCAGTACGGGTTTCCAAGATGCTTAACCTAACAAGGTTCTCTAAGTAAGTGAAGAGGGGGCTCTCAGATAGAAAATTATCCAAAATCCACCTTCAAACCGCCTTGATACAAACTAAACGATTTTTGTGGAAACCCCACACAGCAATCGCCCACGACTGCGTCTATAATCCTTTTACAATTACACGCAGTGAATTTGAGAATTAATGGCCGATCTGATCCATGAACGCTTTAAATTTTTGTAAATCATTCGCTTTGTTGTTTGAAATTTGAGTGTTCTTTCAGCTTCGAATATAAGTATATCATGCTATAAAATTTCCATAGTCGATTGAAAAATTTTATGTATATGCAAGTCTAACCTCATAGAGAAACAATAAAACCCGGTGTTCATTTTCCTCCAGATCATATTTCTATTTTTTGTGGTTTTTCAGTTAGCTTAGTTACTTTTTCAAAGTCGTGAAAATGAAATATTGCCTTTCTGGTTTAATTCGAGAGTGGTTTTTAATGGACGGAAATCATGTTTCTCATGTAGAATTTCTGGATAATGTTAACGATTCATCTCCAAATGATGCTTTGGCCGACAAGCTGACGCTGTTTAACATCGTATGGTTCTCAAGAACGGCTGGCCAAAACTGCCACTCACCCACCAAAAGAAAAATTAACGCTTTAGCACCGATGATCCAGGTGGAAACGAAATAGGGAACTGACGAAAGAAATAGAAGAAAACGTAACGAGAGCACAACATAAGATTATTTAGTATTTCTCAGTTTCCACGGCGATTTTCAGAAAATTATATTCCAATCGTGACAACCTCTTGAAATTGAAGTATCATATGGGTGGATGGTTTTGAAGCCCATATTAAGTTTTTTGACCGAGTTCTTAGCCTTCATATAAAGACTTGCTCCAGAAATGTAACATAAAGTAGTTATTTATTTGGTTTGATAAATAAATGAAAGATTTTTTTAAAAACACTACATCTGAATTCTTGTATCACGCATGACTTAAGTAAATTGACTAAAGAAATTGAAAGGTAAACGAGCCAAAAAATGTTTAACTATGTGTGTCATGTACTCTTTATCGACTATTTTGTCAGTTTAACAAGAGTGTTTTACTTTCTCCGCTTTAGAGCTGAATTCATTGGTTAAAATTTCAGAGCCTACTGAAAGCAACCTTATAGCATCCCCGATAGATCGGTCAAGTGGAACTTAAAGGTGCATTTGGTCAAATTACAGCAGATGTTTCAATTTGAATTGGAAACCCTCTGTCAACTGTGTTCGGCCATTTTCTGATGGACTATTTTTTTTTGTCTTCTTCTAACATTTAAAGTTGTCGTATCAAGCTTATCCTAAAGTTTTTTTTTTGCTATAGAAACTAATTAAATTGTGTTTAGCACTTTTATTTTGTTTCTTGTATTTTGAAACATGTCAAAATATTTGATATAAATAGAAAAATTCTGGCTGAAGAAGTGGTTAGGAAACCTGGAAAACCAACCACAAAGAAACAAAAAACGATGCTGTCGTTGTTGCAAGCTCTTAATGTTCACAAATGATGTTCACGTTGTTCTAAGACTACGTAAATCAATAAAACTTTCTGCTAGTCAGCCAGTTTAATATGATTGGAAAGCTGTTGAACAGTGCATCGCTAGATTCTTGTTCGGATAAATCTAAAAGTTGAGAGCTGAATCATGTCAAAATATTTGTTATAAATAAAAAAATTCTGGCTGAAGAAATGGTTAGGAAACCTGGAAAACCAACCGCAAAGAAACAAAAAACAATGCTGTCGTTGTTGCAAGCTCTTAATGTTCACAAATGATGTTCACGTTGTTCTAAGACTACGTAAATCAATAAAACTTTCTGCTAGTCAGCCAGTTTAATATGATTGGAAAGCTGTTGAACAGTGCATCGCTAGATTCCTGTCCGGATAAATCTAAAAGCTGAGAGCTAGATCGGGTCCCCTCACAAGAAGTGATAGTTTTAAAAGATGTGATCCTAGCCTGTGTGTAGTATTTTACACCAAAAAATAATTAACGATAACAGCGGCAAAAATTATTATTTCTTGTGTTATACCTACCCAAAGTTCCTTACTCCTCGTTCAGATGGAAAGTTAGACCAAAGGAGAAATAAAGAGATATCAATATAATAATGGAAGTAAAGTTTTCGGTCAAGTATGCCAGAATTTCAGGTCTGTGGCCAAATTCTTAATACCAGCTGTCAATATTCGACTGTTTGCGTGATCAAACTATTGAACAGATTGCAGACGAAGAAACGCCCAAACAATTATTGATCGAACTGCACGCAATTTTCATTGGTTGCACATCATAACTCACAGCAAGCTTGTGTTTAACAACAATATTTGTGACAATTATAAGCGTTTCATCCCCCAAACTGCTCTCATCCAACTTTTAATTATTCGGTTGATCTCGGAAAACAGTACATACGAACTTTTACTCTTTCAATATAAGATTTTAAAAGCTAGAAGTCTGATAACAAATCCGACAATAATTTCATTATTCCACTTATAAAGATACTTTGATGGTGCGTATTTTTCTTTGATATTTAAAAATCATTCACCAAAGTGGAGGTGAATAGTGATGGTGTTTACAGAGCCGCGGAGTAGGTGGTGGTAAATAATCACCACTTCCACTGATACTGTGGTGAGTATTTTTTTCGTATATACCGCACAGAAACCAAAGAGATTAGTTTATCTCTCTAAATTTGCCAAAAAAATGGTCGGAAATTAAATTATTGACGCGCGATTTTGACTCTACGGCCACACAGAGGTGAATAGTACTTGGTAATCACTTACAAACCACCAATCAGAGCGAAACAAACGAACTATTAACTGTGTAGTTTATATTAATGTTGTAGGTATATCTTTTTAATTGCGACGTCTTCGCTATTTTAATTACACAATTTGTAGACTTTTTTCCATCATGGAACACCACAGAAATACACCTATATCAATAAAGCAACTTCCATTTTTATTTCACGAAACAAATTACTAACACAAAAGAGGACTTGGTTGAGAAAAAGAGCGAAGAAACAAACAAAAAAAATAACAAAAACACTTTCACTTTGTTTTGGACCAAGTTAGATAATGAACTGAATTTTATAATTATAGTAGGCGGTGACGTATACGATAAGATTTTAAGTTATTACTTAACTTTTCCGGTTTTTAAAGATGCCATGATTTAAAAGGAAGTCCATTCGTGAATCGCGTCTCTCAGGGACCGGTTATTATTATCGATTGGGAGAAGGGAAGGTGGGGGGGGGGGGGGG